GCAAGCCCCAAGGTCTGGGGTTTTGGACTCGGAAAGAACCGGAGAGGCCATCGAGGCTTGCCTCATCATTTTTTCAGGTAAGGAAACAGGTCCAGAGAAGGGACTTGCCCAAGGTCACCCAGTCATCCTGGTCCTGTGTCCCCGGTCTGAGGTCCCCTCATACTCCCAGCCCCCTAATTACTGATGATTACAGTTACAGATGGCCCCAGTCTCCAGCCACAGGCCGATGTGGCACTGGTGTTGATAAGTGGGTCTGACAGAGGCAGGGCAGCAGTCGGATGGCTGGGCTTGGAGTTGGAAAGCTTGGATTCAAATCCTGCCTCAGATCCTCACAAGCTATGTGACCCTGCACAACAAACTTTAATAATAATAATAACAATGTCTACTCTGTGCCAGGCACTGTGCCAAGCACTTTACAAAGATTATCTCGTTTGATCCTCACAATAACCCTGGGAGACAGGTGTTGTTACTGTCCATTTTACCGGTGAGGAAACTGAGGCAAACAGAGGTTAAATGATTTGCCCAAGGTTGCACATCTATTAAATGCCCAAGTCTGGATTTGAACTCGCATCTCCCTGACTCCAGGCTCAGCTCTCCATCCACTGCCTCTCTCCTGCATTTCCTCATCTGTAAAATAGGAATCATAGCACCAACCTCACAGGGTTGGTATGAGGATCAAGTGGGCTAATAGCGTTATGTAAATATCAATTATTATTATCAATCCTAATTAAATATAATTATTAATTCTAATTCTATTATGAACTTTCATGGGTGGTCCTTACAAAAGAGTGAGCCCCTGAGCCCCACTGTTACTACTCAATACCTGTCGTTTCAGTGAACATTTATTACAGGTTTGCTGTGTGCTGAACTCTGTCCTTGGCACAGAGGAGATGCATTTAGATGAGATGGTCCCTGCCCTTGCGGAGTTTACTGTCTAGTAGGTGGGGCACACGTGAAGGTGGGGAAAGAGAACTGGATTTAGAACCAGAAGCCCTGGGTTCAAATCTCAACCATGCAGTGTAATACTTGGGTGACTTTGGCCGGTTCCCTGACCCTCTTTCTGCCTCAGTTTCCTCCTCTGTAAAGGGAGGAAGTGAGAGGATCTCAAAGGTCCCTTCCAGCCCAAAATCCTCCACTCATAATCATAAAAACAAGAACATCAGAAGTACCCAAAAAGGGATCTGAGGTGGAACAGAGGCTTCCTGGAGAAAGTGGCATTTGAGCTGGACTTTAAAAGATGAGTTGGGGACAGCTAGGTGGCGCAGTGGATAGAGCACTGGCCCTGGAGTCAGGAGTTCCTGAGTTCAAATCCAGCCTCAGACACTTGACACTTATTAGCTGTGTGACCCTGAGCAAGTCACTTAACCCCACTGCCTCGCCAAAAAAAAAAAAGAGTTGGCATTTAGCCAGTAAAAAAGAAGGGGAAGACATTCCAGGCATAGGGCCCAGTGTGAGCAAAAGTGTGGAGGTAGGGAAAGCACAGTGTTTCCTGGAGAGGCGGAGTAAGCCTGGAGACAGAGAGTGGTCGAGGCTGATCTGAGGACAGATAACAGAGAGGAGAGGAAATGCTAAGGCTGGAAAGTTAGGTAGCACCTGGTGGCAAAAGTGTCTCAGTCCCAGGTTGACTTTTCCTCACCAGGTGATAGGGAGCCAGAGGAGACACGACAGTGGACTGGAGAGTGTGGCTGTTCCGAGCTTCCTCATCCAGCAGTAACACGGGCAGAAATAGAACTCAGCCCAGAGGGCCTCAGGTTGTTTGTGAGGACCCAAAGATGTGCAGGCCTCTCTCCTGGGGATGGGATGCTTGGGACGGGTTCTAGGGAATGGAAGAATCCCACGGAGGGAGTGTGATCCCCGTGGAAATGTGACGGAGCAAGGCGAGGACCGCCCATGTGGCAGACAGGTCGGGCCCTGGAGAGGCGGAAATGCCCACCTCCCCTGCCCTGCTCTGCCCTCTGCTCCAGCTGCTGACATCATCAGTGAGTCCATCCTCCCCCTCCCCAGAGGCCCGGACTCAATCAGCCCGGGCCCCGCTCCTCCCTGGCTCCCCGTGAAACAGGGCCAGGGCATTCTGCCCCTTTCACCCTTGGGAGCAAAAGAGCCTGGCATCCGATTCCCAACGCATCGCCACGCCCAGCGTCCCACCCTGCTTCCCGAAGTCGAGCTCACTGTCACCCTTTCCCGTCCCCATCCCTGTTCCCCTCTACCCTCACCCCCAAACATTCCCCAGGTTTCCTTGCTCAGGATCCCCAGTTAATAAGCATCAGAGGAGCAATCTGAGCACGGGTCCTCTTGATCCCAAGCCCAGCCTTCCTGCTAATTCCACACTGCCTCTGGAGAGATGCTTCAGGAGGTACGAGCCTTACTGGACAGAAGAGAGAACCGAGGGGGACAAACTGAGTGACTTTCCTGGGGGCACACACCCAGTCAGTGTCAGAGTTGGGATTCTGACTCCCGGTCCAGCCTGTCTCTATCCTTATGAGGTCTTAACTACTTTGGGCATCCTGGGACCCACTGGACAGTGTATACGTGTGTGTATATATATATATATATATATATATATATATATATATGTATGTATGTATGTATGTATGTATGTATGTATGTATGTATGTAGAGAGAGAGAGACACATACACACACACACACACACACACACACACACACACACACACACACACA